TCGGCATAACTGAAGATGTATATTTATCTCCCTCTAGCAAAGGCATTCCACTATACGATGTCATATTTTCTTTCCCTTTCTTTACTCGTAGAAGTAGTTATCTAGTATTTTCGCCGTTTTTAAGCGCCGCGATGTTGGTTCATGACGTGTCTATATATAATACGTCATTGATTATTATGTCTTAGGGCTAATTTTTAAATGTGAAATAATTATGATGCTGTCGCGTCAGAATGTTTGTACAAGACAGTGACAGCAACAATTTTATTCCTCAGATAACATTTTTATCAGCCCTTAAACAGCAAAATGCCACTTAAATCAGAATTTTATTTATAATTTATTTTTTCCCTGACGTTAATTGTTAAGAAAGCTGTCAAAATGCCGTTCTTAGACAGCTTCACAATTCTCACACTAGAGGCGCTAGTTAGAAACTTTGCATCACCAATAGACATTGTAAGAAATCTCTCAGTATCTTCATCATAAATGTAGCTATTAATATAACTAGCATTTTATTGTTGATAATATATAGTAGGGTAACGAAATAAAACAATTTATCGTGTTTATTTTCAAAATTTTAATTTTATTTACAATTTCGTTTTGATTTACAATTAAAAAAGTCTTTGGACAAAATTATTAACAGTACAAAATGATCAAAGAGATTCGTGCTCTTGTGACATACATATGTATAATAATTAATTTGATTAAATTATATTATTAAAAAAATATATGAATATGTACACAGAATAATTAGTATCTGAGTGGCCACTGAAATCTGAATGAATCTAAAGATGAAGTTAGTTAGTTAAGTTATTCATAAAAACAAACTGTTTATTTTCATAGAAGCATAGTTCACTTAGACTGACGACATCCGCAAGGTTGCTGGCAGTGGTTGGATGAGAAGAGCTGAACATCGAGCTCAGTGGCCTGCAATTGGGGAGGCCTATGTCCAGCAGTGGACGACAACAGGCTGATGATGATGATGATAGTTCACTTCCATGTTTTGATATTTTAATATAAAAAATAAAAATAAATAGGAATAAGTTTTATAAATGTAAATTAAGAGAGAAAATACAGGATGAACGAAATTATTAGGTATATAACCTAGTAACGGCTTTTCAAAGAAAATTATTTATCCGGTTGAGGCAATGGACGTGTGTGTATGTGTAAGGCCAATGCACAATCGGTACTTTAATTCCTTTTTAACAAAGTCAAAAGTTTTAATAAGGATAAAAAAGAACTTAAACAGTTTTTTACGTGTTTACCCAACTGATGTTTTTTTCTGAATTCACTTATAATATCTTTCTTTTTTAAGTCAGTATAATATACAACATTTTGAATGTAGAATTTAACTTATGGTTGCTTATTCAAATAAACTCAACTTCATAGTTAAGAAAAAAAATCTTACACTGAAACGATTATCCACAAATGTTAGGTTAAGTTATATAATATATAAATCTGTATAATTTAATACATTGCTAGTTATCTTCATTTCAGAATCATGATTTATTATATTTTAAATAATGTATATAATCTTTTTAGTCTTAAAGCGAAGATAGATTTCCATTTAAAATAAAAAAAAATAACAGAAACACAACTCTATTTACAGCTTACTGTCAGTAGGTAAACGTAATTACATTAAATTTATTTCTTTAAACCTATTTATTTCGATGTTGAAGTATAATTAATTAATGTTATTATTATATAATTTAGTCTCCAAACGATTGGTGTCCGTACTCAGGCAAATAATATAAAATAGAATCTCACGAGCCGCCATTTAAATAAAATAAACTTTTTCCCCTTATTACAAAACAAGATTTATCTTTAGTCCAGGTTTAAACCATTAAGTCAGGTTTTGAATTTTGAATCTTATTGTCACCTACCTTCAATCCGAAATACAAAAACTGGCTCAATGGTTTTGTCCTACACTAAAGTAAAACCTTGTTTTGTAATAAGGCCGTTTAAGTATAAAGATTTGTATCGCAATAATATATTTGAACACTTAATAAAATTCAGAGCCATATTTTGGCACGAATGGTTCAACCGGAGTGATACCACGGCTTCACAGAAAACTGGCGTGAAACAACCACAGCATTGCGTTTGCGTGTTGTGAGTTAAGCTTAAACTTTATTCTTTGTTAAGCCCAAACGAAGCCCAAACCGTCTCAATTTATATTGATTGACATTTGATGACCTTGACATTTTTGGTCATTTGCTAGGCCAGCTTTTTGGTGTACAGAGCTGAATACACTAAAAAGTACCTTGGTAAATAAAATTTTATGTTTTTCCAACTTAAACATCATAGTCAAGATAAGAATAACTTAAAGTAGTATAAAACCTTTAGACTATTCATCAATTGTTTCTATTTTGCACAAAAAATAACTAACTAATAGCTTTTTTCGCAATGTCTGTATAGCCACCATGTGCCAAATACGTTTGAATTTAGAAATTATTTTTTTATGTGCAAATGTTTATACTGAACTTAATTGTAGGTCTCGAAACAGATGCCTATTATAACAATTTAACAGAACGTATAATTTTAACATAGATTTGCAATAGTTTTAAGTAGTTTCACTCAGTAATAATATAAGTAGGACAGCATTTTTGTAACAATCCATGAGTATAATGATACAGTTGAAATGCACTTACCCCGGGATTTCTCACGTTAATTTAAAAAATTAAAAAGTTTTAACCTCATAACATTTGTATACTTAGTCATATTTTATTAACTATTATTTACTAAGAGCCAAATAAAACTATAATTTTCAACGTAAAAGCACTAAATATCTATTTTATTATTGTTGTAAAATCAATTTATTATAATAACTTACAAGAAAATATGAAGACATATTTTTCAGTTAATTTTTTTTATAATTTAGGGTGGCAAACGAGCAGACTTTGATTGTTGATGGTCTCTTGGGGATATACATTTTTGGGGATTGTGGATCTGTGTATCTGTCTGTATTCGTAATGACAGTACATACACATGACAGTAGGTACACATGGATCATAAAATATTAGTTGAATTATAATGACGTCAATATTAAATTAAAATTTCTGTAACTTTCTATCTTATTTATTAACATTTTTATCGGATATACTAACTATCAATGTTATACTAATGAAATTTTGCTATGGGTTATTTCGCGATTGCAATTAGTGTAATAATATTACAATTTGAAATTCTTTAAATTATGCAGTGCCATCGTTTTTTGCTCACCAGAGAACGACCTTCTGGCCAACAGAGAACTAGATAAAGTTAACTTTAAATTTATGTCAGCTAGAAATAGACAAACTTATTTTCTACTACTTTCACGCCACCTTGCGAGTAAAATAACCACAGCAATTATTTCTGAAGTCGTATATATATGTATTCATAATTGTCTTTGTATAATAATGATTTTATATAGAAATTCTGTACATACTTTTAAAAGTTTATTTAAATTAATTATATAAACAAAATAATGAAAATTTAATTTTCGACGTCACACTTAAATTAAGGCTATTTGCAGCCCTTTTAGTTATCACAATATCTTTTACTGTGTATATTATATATATAATGTTAGCAATATTTACACATTATTATTATATTATATTAAATAGAATATAATTACATAGAAAATGGAATGTACAAATTGTGTTAAGACAATAGAATTTGAATTGTGTTATAATTTTACAAAGCATTTTGAACTCTTTACTAAAAGCAGATAAAACACAAAATACGAACGAATTCTAAGAACAAAGTGATGATTAGGTGAGAGTGACCAATAACAAAATAACTAAATTTACCTTTAGTTATAGAACTAATTTGTATTAAAGGTATTATTCTTTATTTTTAGTCTACACTGTCTATCTATTGCGTACCATTGCTATAAGCCAAATGACATTAGTTTCAAATGAATGAAGAATGCGAAGAAAAGAGTTTTTTTGTTTGTACCTTTCCGATATAAAAGCAAAAAAAAGAAAAGGATCGTATCACTTTATGGCCAGTGCTTCGAGCGTCTATGGCAAACTTGCTTAATGTTTACTCCATATATTAATCACTTATTTGAGTTGTTTCCGTGTTTAGCCTTCTGATTCTTTAGATAACTTAGAGCTGGCCAGTCAGGGCGAACGTAATAAAATTGGTAATTAACTTAACATAAAGCAAAATCTTAATAAGCGCTCAGCTAATTACTGTGCTCTGAGCACGATGGCTCGACTGCAAAGCACTAGTTTCCAGTTTTAACCAGTTTGATGTAATAAACATATTTAATTTTCATATGACCATAAAATTTGTTGAATGGTAAAATTCAGGCTGTAAGTTCGACTTAGAAGCGATTTTCATGAAAACAGAGTTTCTACCCGAAGATAGCTTAATTTAGGTTTAGTGGAATGTTGAGACACCTGCGGCCCGGACTAAGCGTTTTGCCTCGTCATTTATACCGAGTACATCGAGGGATTGGAACAGTTTGCCGGCTGCAGTCTTCCGTCCAAATATAATAATTTAGGTGTCTTCAAGGCTAGAGTGAATAGGCTCTTAATAAACTAGTGGGCCTTACCATCAACGATTGCATCACTGCTTACCATCAGGTAGGATCGCAGTCAAGCACTAGTTTATAGCAAGTAAATAAAAAAAAAATGCGCAGAAATTCTGCCATTTAGCTTATAGCAAAAGCCTAATGTTCAATTTTTCGAATATAATATGCATTTTTAGTATCTGTTGTAATATTTTTGAAATGGTACTAAATGTACATAAAATCATTTTAAGCTTATACAAATATAAATAATGGATAAATTGAAATTCATTCAGGTGATTGGAATGATAAAATTAATCCTCAAACATTAATGAGTATTAAAACCCAAAAATTATACACAAATCTTAATCTAACAAAACAAATGAAAAAAAAATTATACGAACTTTAGTAAAAAAAAAATCTAGTGCTTATTTGAAATATCGTGTTTACAATTAATTTATTTATCACACTAAATTCGTATATTAAAATTATAACTATTTATAATCTGCATTCAACCGCCAAGTAGGGATGACCTCGCCACGGTTTCATACTTCTCATCGTAGTCTTCGTATTCGACGAAGGGTACCAAGTAATCTTGACCCATCACTACAGGCAGCAAGAAGAGGAGGAATAACAGGATCCAGCTTTGAAAGCACTTTGATGCACTGTTGAGAGTGACTGGAATCAGAAAAATAAAATCGTAAGTTATGTAAAACAAATTGGCAAATCCATACAACTAACATATTTAATTTTATAATATTTTTCGCAATGTCCTTAACAACACTATAATTAAACGAGATATAGAGATATTATTGAATTGAAAGTTTAATATAAACAATAAATTGTAAATTATAAATACAACGTTTTACCGATAGATGGCGCTACGTGTCATTTAATCGCACTAGGGTTATTCAGACGTGTGTCAATTAGATTCGCACTTAAACGGTTTCTTTTTCTTTTGGATTTTAAAGAGTGTGTTTTACGCGGGACTTGGTCATCATCATCGTCATCATCATCATTAGTCTATAAGTGCCCCGTGCTGAGTAAAGACCTCTTCTACAACGGAGAAGGTTTGAGCATTAATCACCGCGCTTACTCGAGGTGGATTGGCAAATTCAAACCTATAATGAGAAATTTATTTAAGTTCATGTTTCCTCACTATATTTTCCTTCACCGTATGTCAGTGGTGTCTAAATGATCATAAGAAGTACATATAACTCGGAAAAAGCCACATTGGTACTTGCCAGGTTTCAAAGCGGGCCAGCTGGGCCACCACGACATTAAAAACTTGATTATCTGTTCGTAGAAGTGGTCACCAGAAGACTGTTTTCAGTATGAGCTGCACACAAAAGCTCTTTCTTTCTTTCTTTCTTTTACAAATCTACATACAAGACTTTGAGACTAGATTACTTGAATATTCATATATTCCAAATAATAATACTTACTCCTCTCTGGCCGAGGATCCGTATCAGGTGTAAAGAAGTCCAGATTTGCTGAGCTCCTGTAGACGTCATACACTGTGGCGAGGCAGGCCACTCTAAGCCGGCCACCGAGGAACAGCTCCGGAGTTACCTTCACGTCTGCTTTTACGCTGGTCCAGAGTAGACCACTCTCAGATGGATGGAGACTTGTTTCTGTAGATCGGAGCTGAAATGAGATATGGGTAACGTTAATTATCAAATCGTGGGCACATAATTCATGAGATTCGACGTTGAATATAAAATCATATGTTGCACTTTACATAAATTTCGTGTTTTAGTTTTGATCCTCTATAAACGCAAAAACTGCTGTATGGATGTTGATTCAAATTGGCACTAAGATAGGATAGGTATATTCCGAAATAACTGACTACTTTTCAGAGCTATCTTACTTCGGTGATGGTAAATCATCATTCGATTCTGCTAAAGTTGTTTTAATTTGGTCATTTTCTGCGACTAAATCTACATTTCCAGAGGTCGGCAATGCACTCGTAACACCTCCGTTGTTACAATCAGCAATGGGCGGCACTGATTGCTTACCATCAGGTAATCCGTCAGCTCGTGTGCTGTCTTATCTCATAAACAAAACAATACAACATATTTTTCAGTTAATTTTAAGGCTTTTTTTAACCTATGTCTCTAACCTCGAATACTAATTCTCGCTAAGCTGTGCTGTTTAAAATAAAAACATTCAATTTGAAAACTTAAGACCAAGATTCTTTTGTAATATTTTAACTTCAATGAACACAAAGTCACCTTCACTCACCAGCTTTAATTAAATACTTATTAAAACTCTTGTTAATGTTAAATAGAGTTTCTTGCACATCTAAATGATTAATGAATCCGATTAGATTTTAAAAAGAGCCATCTGTTGAGACATTCTTGTTAAAGTAACGAAAAACTTGCAGGTGGCCTACCGAAGAACGTAATTATATAACTTTTACACTTGCAAATTAAATAATTAATAACCATTAAAAATGTTTTAGGTCAAAACTTTTTTCGACGAAATGTAAATGCTATCTTTATGAATAAGTTTGAATAAGTGTGAGTAATTGGATTCATGAATTTAATGTTTGAAAACACACCTGAGGTTTGACGTATATTTATGTCATGTATATATGATTGTTAGATGATACATGTTTATGTAAGAACATAGATTCTAAACAGTGATAAGTTTAGTGAGCCACAGAGCGTTGTGTTTCGCCGTCTGAGTGAGGTTACCCGAGGCCCAATACTTCCCTTCCCCAAATACCTCCCAAAATCTCCCAAATCCCTAATCCCCAAAAGGTTGGCAACACGCACTCGTAACTCCTCTGTTGTTGCGGGTTTGCTTACCATGAGGTTATCCATCTGCACGTTTGCCGACGAATCTCATAAAAAAAGTTATAAATTCACTCGGATTATATTAACTACACTACTACTACGTCAACTTGTATAGCTCTTTCTCTTACCCACACTGAAGTAAGATTAAAACAGTCTTACTTTGAATGTCATGGTTACCCCCCAGAGCATTGCCTGTGTTCTTCATAGAAATTCCTAAGCATCTGGCCCCGAAAATGGCCAGCATCGCATTGAAAAGTCCTCCCCCACATAATTTTATAAACAAAAATGGCATGTGTATGATGATATACAGTTTGATTATTGTATTATCCTGTTAATAATATAATGCAATGATACAATAGCTATGCAACTGCTTGATAACCAATATCTAGCAGATTTGATCTTAGCCCCCTTTAGCTAAGTTCATCATCGATAAACGTTACCGCTTTAGAAGCTGTTGACCACGTGACATATCGATGACCTTGAAAAATCCTCGTACACCTGTTTTTCGTTTCTAAAGCGATAATGATTATCGATTACCGCCATGGATCGAATTCGATTCCAAAAAAAAATAACAATACCTACTTTGTGCATTTCATTGATTGATTGCTCCGAATCCGAGTCTTATGTATATTTAAAAAGAAAAGAAATTAACTTACAGCCTCCTCATTGATGTAGATGGTGAGGTTGGCGGCTGGTCGCGCTGGTGATGATGTGCAGTTCGCCTTCAGCACCTCTCCTGGCTGGTAGCGATCCTTGTCTGCTTTTAACACAGGAGCGATGGGCGGCAACGCTGAAATTGATAGAAGGGAGTTGTTAAAAAGTGGGCTAACAATTTCGATTAAACGTTGTCCCGCAGTAGATGCAATCGTAATTGGCTTACCGCGGCTCCAACTCGGAGCGGGAGAAAGAGTGGGATATTTTTTTATGTGATAAGACGGCAAACTAGCCCACGTCACAGACGGAGCCCTATTAATTATAATAGAACTGCTGTTCAGCCGGGGTTGCGGAGTAAGCGCAATTAGGCACCGCGACCTCGGCCCAGAGCAGGAGAAGGAACGGGGGGGTTTTTAGTCAGTAAGATTTTGACACTCCCTCCCGCCCTGGGCGGGAGAAGTAATTTGATTAACAAAAAAACTAGCCCACGTATTATAATTTTGATGGTAATCAATCAGTACCGCCCATGGACACTCGCAACTACGGAGAAATTAACGAGTACGATGCCGTCCTTTAATAACAAGGAATAAGGGTTTTGAAGATTTAAGGATTGGGGGGTATTGGGGAAAGAATGGGGCCTCCGGTAACCACACTCATATGGCAAAACGTAGCGCTATAATTGTTTAACGCCGGTGTTCTGTGATGCCGTGGTATCACTCAGGTCGAACCGAACCATGGCTCAGCCACACTTAATAATACTTCTACTTTGATAATTGAAAACGTTGTTTCTTGCTTGATCTTATCTCAAACAACTAGACTGAGAGTTTTCTCTCATTTTAATAAGAGTAAACTCTCTCAGTCATAGTCACACGGAATAGATTATCTGTTTTGCGCATTTCAAATGGTAATAATTATAAAATGATTTATTATGTCTTTGACCTCAGTCAATGTAAAAAATAGCATGATGTTTGTAACAGTGACGAGTTCTACAAACTAGGTATAATGTTTATTTGCCTAACATTTTATTTTCTGACATTGTACATGCATACCAATTATATGGAGTAGAATTACATATTTATGTAGGTATATGATTATAAGGTGATAAATGTTTTATTTATGAACAAAAATTCCTAAAAACCATATGAGGTTTCCAGTTTACGTAAGATGTTATTAAAAGACTGGTGTTAATGTCTGTATCTATATCAATATTTAAAAATTCATTTGCAATTATCTCAGACATTAATTGAAACAAATATTTTAAGTTAAAAATAAGACATTTGTGTTCACATCATAATGAAAAGAAAATTACTATCACAGACATAACACTTCGCTTATATTCTCACTTAAATATTAAATACACACATTAGCTTATAAAATTAGCTGGTAATTATATTTTAGGTTCATTAGTAAAAGCCTAGAGGTGTAATTAGACACTTTAATTGGATTTTGCAGTCTAATCTTGCTTAAAAATTAATCTTTAGGGATAGCCTTTCAGAAACAGAGCTTAAAGGATCAAGATTCCTATATTATGCAAGTTAACGACCTTTATGTCGAAATACTGATCAAGATTTAGTGATCGCTCCGTAGTAGATATTTAAACGCATTGCTCGCGTAAAGTATTTTACATTATTTTTCGTAATTTTCTATGTTGCCTTCGTTTATGGTCTAAGCTCATAAGAAACTCCCGGCACCCAGTTTTTTTTGGGATCGGTAAATCATCAACTGTCATCTCTCGCCCGTGATGTGACGGAAGGGAATGTCAGTCTTACTGCCTAAACCACTCTCCCCTCCCTCTTCTTCTTCTGCTCTAAGCCGAGGCTGCGGTGGCCTTTTGCACTTGCCCGTAATCTGGTACCCACCCTCCACCGTCTCGTCGCACTGTTTGGCGTCAGGTAGTCTACAGACGGATGGATGACGCTTTATCACCCAATTAACTTCACTTAGTCAACCAGTGGAGTGGTCAACGAGTGGATGCCACTTGGTCAATGAATTTTTAGTAGTCTGTTAATAATTATTGGTAAGAGAGCAGCGCGCGGTTCACTCGTGACCTGCCGTTAGCAACGCCCAGTGAACGCAAGGCTAGCAAGCAAGCAAGTTGCCACCGAGTTGTCCACCCACCGCGCCCGAGACCACACACGGGGCTCTATAGGGCTGATGTTCAGCCGGGGTTGCGGGGTAAGCGCAATGAGGCACCGCGACCTCGGTCCAGAGCAGGAGAAGTAACGGGGGGCGGGGGGTTAGTCAGTAAGAGTCTGACACTCCCTCCCGCCCGACCCTTCACGCGTGCAGGGCTTGTGACCAACATGATCTGGTAACGCTTTTTTTTCATCCGATGTCTTCTCCCGCCCAGGGTAAGGCGAGAGAGAGGTCGCGGTGCCTCATTGGGCTTACCCCGCAACCCCGGCTGAAGATCTGGTGACGCTACGGAGTTGATGTAGCGAGCGTATGCTTATACAAGACCATTTTTATAGAGTAGATGCCGGTCCCGGTAGGTGGCTCTCATAAGCTGTGGCCAGATACATTACGGTTAATGAGAATGAGAGAGAAATACTTATCACGTGTGAATTAAAGCTAAAATTATAACTGTTCTGTGTTTATGTGTGGCCGCATGTTTTAAACGGTTCATTGTCATACTTGAATTGTTTTGTTTTGTAAATTAAATTTATTGTTACTAGTAAATAAAGCGGAAAAGCTTAATTCACTAATTTATATTTTTGTGAAACTAAACTTAATGTGAAATAACTTTGCATTACCCGTCTATCAAAATTAATTCGGTGGAAAAGTTGCGTCGAGTTTTGCGGAAATAATTTATTGTTAAAAACTATTAAAAAATCGTATTTTTTTATGAGGTTGTTACTTAAAAGACAGCTTTAAGAGAATATTGGAGCTCTTTCTTACGTTTAACCTGTAAGCACAGTAGCAAAAAGCGGTTAGGTATACGAATAAATCTCTCTTCAAATATTTTAGGGAATAATAAACAGACGTTAGGTTATCCAAAACATGACGCCGTAAAATCGTGATTTTATATAAAAAAAACAAAATATTGAAGTACATTCTACAGTGTCAGATTTTTATTCTTGCAGTAAAATGAGATCGAATATACATATTCTTCCTCGTACAGCAAAAATTTGGCAATAAGGTCTCGATGCGACATCGTAAATGTGATTGACGAAAAGTTGTGAGCCAAAGTGGTTGACGCAAGATATAGAGATAAATCGGAGCTTGTACATATTTTGTTTCACGGCATAAGTTATATTTTTTGTTCTTTTTTTAAACTAGGACAAGGTTAGATTTTTTGTCTACTGTATTCTGACGATAGAATAGATCTCTATTGATATTTGGCAGCCAAAGGCTAGGATAAAAATGACATGTTTTTTTAAGAACACGTAGATCCAAATGCGTCCCTAATGAGTCGGCTCTACTGGAGTGCTACAATGGCCTCATGGAAAACCAACATGAAACAATCACAGCGTTGTGTTTGGTCGTGTGAGTTATATTACTAGAGGCCCAATCCTTCAAAATCCTAATCCCCAAAAAGTCTGCAACACACTCGAGACTCTCTACTTGTGTTGCGAGTGTACAGGAGCGGCGCCAATTGCTTGCCAACAGGTAATATTGGTTGGTTTAAAGTCGGTTTGTTCGTTTACCGAATATCACATAAAAAAAATTGTTTGTATTTCTGGTACCGATCTAGTGAACTATTTAAAACTTCTATTGGTATTTTAAATATGAATCTGTATGTTTTTTTTTTGTCGTAACGACAGAAAATAACCACGACAATGTCACTAAAGTAATATCAATGCCCAATAATATTTGAGAGCGACCGTTACTATTTATATTTATATGCAACATAAAAGATGATAGAAACATGACAAAACCGTCCTTAAAACCGTTACCATAACGGTCCAAATTCAAAACGCAGAACTATCAACAACTATCCAATTACGAACTACAGGATATTTCCAAACTTGGCCTATACAATTCCTAATAAATAGGAGATCGGTCGTCGATAACGACACTGATATCTCAAACTTTATATCCCATAAAATAACAATAGAGAAAATTTTATGAGCAAACACTCTGGGAAATGGAATTAGAATCTTCCGGATTCTGTTTGGCGGTTGGACTGCAGCTGCGATGAAAATTGAATTAATTTTAGCATTTCACATTTGAGATGGATAGTTTTGAGTGCATGACCGAGTGCATGTGGACAGTGTTTAAAATGATAGAGAGAATTTCTGCAGTTTTTACAGCAATTTAAGATGGCATGTTTTATAAAATACTATAATTATATTAATTAAGCCGAACAAACTAATCACGAGATTACAGTAGATGACTCCAAACTCATTATGAGTTACGCAAATTACTGTTCCAGGTCAGGGTGTGATGTGTATATGAAACTTTGTGTTTGTAAATGCACCCACATTACAGGCAGCAATCCAAGTGTCTGGCAGCACTGTTTAAAACTAAGTGAACATTTTACTTTATTCATGATCATATATCAAATTTCCCCAAAAAGTTACTCGCTTAAAAAAATCATAAAGCAAAACTCTTTCGGATGACTAAATTATGAAGGAACCCATAAAATTGTTATGACATTGTAAAACTTTTACTGAACCACGTTAAAGGGCGAGTATCCGACGGAAATTATTGACTGGCTTAAATTAAATTTTCATTAGCATAGTCTACTTAAACGAAAGCGGGTGAGGACTAAAATAGGTTATTATAATGAGTAATCTTCGTTGGCTTAGTGACGGTAAGGAAAACTTCAAGCTGTTTTTAAAGTGTGGGAGACCCATGCTTTGGTACGGATGTGTCGGCTTGACCGGAATGATACTACGGCCTCACAGAAAATCGGTGTGAAATAACCACAGTGTTGTGTTTCGCCGTGTGAGTGATATTGTGGAACGCCAAATCCTACTTCCCCTCCCTTAATCCCTGCTCAAACCCTAGATCTACGACACCATAATCACCAAAAGGCAGGCAATGCCCTCCTAACTTCTCTGGTAGTTTTCTGTGAGGGCATGGCATCACACCGGTTGAGCCGACCCACACGTGCTAAATATTCAGAACAGCTTCTTAAAACTAAACAGTCTAAATGAAATGGGTATATTATTTCATTTTAAAGATGGCCGACCGTCCAAACTTGCAGAAAGAGGTAGTCTTCGCATCTTATCTCATTTCATAAACTAAAACCAGTATAAAAACTTACAACAATCTCAAACTAACAACGTTCTTTAAAACTTCCCTCGATCCTTTTCATCGTCCTTTCACGTTCAAGTAACCACTTAACCAAGCTATTTTGATAGCATTCCCAGTTAATTAAAACTTTTTATTTTATCACTTTAACTGCAGATAAACTTAAGGTTCCAAAATTAAGTTATAATGGTTAAAGGTTTATTTTAGTGCCCTAACCTCAAAATTACAACGTAAATAAATTAAAATTTGAGAAAACCGGGTGGTTATGTATTTAATATGCCGATAGTACTTTGCTATCTTTTATAATGGCCGGTCGCTTGTTCTGTGTAAAATTGTTTTAAATAAAATGTTTTGCTCGTTTCTCAGTAGCGAAATGAATAGTTTCTACTGAAGGTTTTTGAAATCATATTTCAATATTGAACCTAGGCTATTTGGTTTTTATTGGAACTTTATTTTATTTAAAATATTTTCATAAATATGCAGGGAAATGTTTATTGCTATAATAAATATAGTTCTTAAATGAAAATAAAATTGAGTCCACCTAGTAAATTATTTCAGCCGGAGTTGCGGGGTAAGCGCAATGAAGCACCGCGACCTCGGCCCAGAGCAGTAGAAGGAACAGGTGCCTCCCGGTCCCGCCCGGCCCTAGGTGGGAGAAGTCATTTGATGATTTTCCCCTCACAAAAAAAACCTAGTAAATTATTAGGGCACTGGTAAACTCACACACGATAAATTACAACAGAAGTCGGTTAATTGTTATTTCACGCTGGTTTGTGTAATATTGGTGCCAATGAGTAAATCACTTGTGAATTTAATTATATAAAACAATCCTTTAAACGAAAATAGTTTCTTTACGTTTGAATTGTCTGTTGTCGTGTCGTTAAAATGTGACTTTTTCGAGTTATAATTATTGATAATAATCAATAATTACTTAAACACCACTGACAGACAGAGTTACTTACATCATTTTAGGGCAGATTTTTCAATCGTCAGGTAAATTTTATCTAAGAAATAAGATTGTTTCTGTCACCGTCTTATACAAACATTCTGACGCGACAGCATCATAATGATTCCCCAGATAACTTTTATCTAACCATTGAAAAGTCAGCCCTTAGAACCTATACTATACCTATTCTAAAAACAAAGAAATAAATAGAAACCAATATCTTTAAAAACAAAAGCCAACATCAAAAGTGTTCGATAAATGATAAGTGTTATAGCATGTGTCATTTTGAAATAGCGACACACCTGTTACGATGGCTATAAACTAAACTATGTAACCAGGATAAATTGAATGGATACATCGTCGGCAGTCGGTACTTACTACGGCCATACATATTTTCTCTTGACAAGTCCCATGGGACACTTCATAGCTAGTTGATTTTTATATGCTAGCTATGTGAGAGATATTGAAGCGACTTTGTTTACTAACATAATCACGATACGAATCACGATATTTACATATTTTTAAACCTTAGATTATTAATTCTGAATCGTAATTTAGTGTAGAGATTTAGTAGCAGAAATAAAAATAAATATTGATAGTAATTATCTGATACTGAAATAATCAAAATTCCCGAAAATAGGCTATGTAAGTCATACTTGAATTTTTTGCGTCGTTTAAAGTAATTCACGAATTGTTAAATGTTGATAATAAAGAAGTATTTTATAGGTAACTAGCAGACCCAGCCACGCGTTGCTGTGGCTAAGGTAAATAATATTGTGACTATAAATTAAAATGTAAGCTATCCTATCGTTCAAGTTTGATCAAAATGCACACGGAATGCAAATCAAATTTAAAATCGGTTTGGTAGTCCATCGCAGAAAAACACGTGACACGAAATATATAATTTTTATATATAAGGATATTAATTGCCAGCTGATGTCACATTTCAGTGTCGAGTTGTCTCCGGATCAACATTCACCTTCTAAAGACCTTATCTTAATAGACTTTGCAATCATTGTTCCGATAGTTGTGTCTACCAAAGGCCTCATGCCTAAAAGCCTCGATTAACACTTGAACAGGTTTACGTTAGATGTTTGAGTCTAAATGATGATGCAGAGAGCAGTCTGTACTCATTGGACACGGTGCGTATTGTTCGGAGATTTTTGTCTCTGAAACCCAGACTAACACTGGCTTGAGCCACTCACCTTTTTTTAAGAAAATATTTCAAACTAAAATTTATTACCTATAACATCGATGAATTTGGTGGCAATCTGCGTCGCGAAGGACGGTGAATCTGCAGTGACCTCACAGCTGAAGTTTCCAGCCAATGTTAGGTCCAGTCTTCGAAGTAACACCTGAGTGCCGTTCGATCTGTTCATCTGAAATTTTATTAAATACATACACATTAACATCTGAATTTATTAAAGCTGATGAATACCTACTAAATCCTCTTTTGATAGATAAAATATAAATAGTTGTTCTCCTGATTCCGATTTATGCATTGTCAATTACAATTTGTTTGTTCTCGCCGATGCTGATATACAACTCAGAGCTCGGGTTAATATTTCTCCGAATGCAGTATTATTTTCAATATTTAGGTATTCTCAGAAATAAGGTTAAAATAAATTTATACATGAATGCATACTGAGCTCGGACCAATCAATATAGTATTCATATACCATATTGTTAAATTGAAATGGATTGTAATAATTAATCTTTTATCCAATATGAATTATGGACAAAAGACCAAAATAATTTCAGTTTAATCGAATTTCATCGCTATTAGCAGCAGTGTTTCGCAGTATTCACTAAAATTTTCGTCAAAATAATTAAATTTTCCAACTGATTGAAACTTATTTTGTATTTAAGCAGCGAGGTCAGAGTTCGTTGACCTGCCAGAATGTTTTACTTTTACGTTAATGCTTGTTAAAATTTCTATAGCCCATTAATAAAAAACGATAATTCGTTTAGTCCCTGGTAGACAACGGACAAACTTATTTGGGTAGAATTTAATTACTTCTGTTCAGTTGAACCTCTTTTGAATGTAAATAGGCACGATGGCTGACTAATAGTGTGGTCTATCGTCCTAATAATTTCGTTTTTCTTTCCTGGCCAACAATAGGATAGGAGAAGCTAAAAAAATTGCTATGGCTATATTGTAATTTATAACATTTTTAGGTTCATTTGAATTTAAGTACCAAAACGGCAATGTCTCTTTTTGTGCAACAACGTTTAATTTGTTATTACTCTGCTTTTTATTCTGAAATTGCCAAATCGTGATTATTGTCACCATGTTCATAATCCATTATGATAATTATCATTTTTATCAAATTTAGTACAATTAGATATGCGAGATTCATTTTGGGATATTGGTTCCATAAAATAATTTCGAAGGAATTTACGAACTATTTAATACAAGTTAATTATTACAACTTTAGGCATTTAATTATTTGACATTATCATTATCCCAATATCATCGTCATTAGCATCGCCATCGTCGTCATCAGCACTATAACCATTATCATCATCTTTCGATACAAACCGTACAAACATTTAATACCAAAGTGCATTCAGTAAATAACTGAAATGAATTTCAAAATATCCACCACTAGATATTCCTTTTAAACACACCAACAATAAAAGAGATTTGAAAAACCTCATTCCGCTGTAATGAATGGTAGACAGCACTATACACTCGACGGATCGCACTTCGAAAATCGTTTTCAATCTCGATTCGGTCTTTATCGATTCAATCCGGCAAAGTGAGACTAGTGTTGTGCTTTGTAGCAAATATTGTGCTTTGGAAAATAGCATAATAATATGTATATAACGATTCATTTCGTAGGACAAGTGAGAATGAAGCAAGTTGATATATTTTGATAGTTAATAATCTCGAAATCTCTACTTTCCAAATAAGTTTGGATGTTTTTCTGCACAGAATCTGAGATTGTGCCCGGTCTACAGCAATAGGCTTTTTTTGAGGTGAAAATCATCGAACGGCTTCTCTCTCCCTCGGTGAAAAGTCAAAAATCATTTATTCCAATTAGACCCTTACAGGCACTTTTGAAAGTCAAACATAATTTTGAAGATATAGTGTCAGTCTGTCGGTCAGTACTTTTAGTGAAGCTATTTGCTCGTTCCAAAGTGTAGATTCCGAGGAAGAATAGTGGAGCCAAAGGGAGTATTAGGCTATTACCAATGACGTATTATATATAGACACGTCATGAACCAACATCGCGGCGCTTAAAAACGGCGAAAATACTAGATAACTACTTCTACGAGTAAAGAAAGGGAAAGAAAATATGACATCGTATAGTGGAATGCCTTTGCTAGAGGGAGATAAATATACATCTTCAGTTATGCCGACGTCACGTGACTATACCTTCATGCGCCGGCCGCCATAAGATGGCGGGCGCCGGCGTCGAAAAAAGTAAAATAAAAATAGGTTGTTTGGTGAACTTACGCATGAAATGACACATTTTTGTCTTTAACTTTTGGAGTATAATTTGTACATCGTCTGAACACACACGACGACATGCTTTCTTTATGTTTCGCACAGGTTTACACACGATATAGATTAAAAACAAACGTAGCGTCGCGCGGCAGGTTGGTGCGTAACTAAGCGCGATGTGGTCAATTGCCTTCATTTCATGTTGTCATTTTAGAGCGCGGACAACGTATCTATAGTTTTATACATCATTGGCTATTACTGACTAAAAACCACCCCGTAGTTTCTCCTGCTCTTGGCCGTGGTTGTGGTAGATTATTCCCGTTGCAAGCAGCCCCATTGACATTTTATTACATAAGATTCATAAAATACCTGGTGTAAATAGAGTGTAAAATTGTAAACGTGAAACTGTGCCTAAAAAATGTGATATTATATTAAATAACAAAATAATATTTTCCCAAATCGACTCCCTTGTTCGGCAACCGAGTTTATAATTCCACTCGACAAACGAGTACGGTAAGCCAAAATGTTTTGAAACAGGTATAAAATATGTGTCCTAGATTTTTGTCGTCCTGGTTTTTGTACATTCGCTTTTAGCTGACCGTATTCAAACGTGAAACTGCCATTTTTGTTTAAATTTTCGAAGGTTTGCTCACAAATATTACGTAGTTATATAGTCCATTTATAAAACTGTTTCTGGGAACCTGTTCTTTTTACCTGCTTTCAATTTATTTAGGTAATGAAAGCAATAATTTTATCTAGTTTCATTTTTAATTTGCTCTTTGTCTGCTTGTGGCTTTTTACTGTTTTTTATATGATGGTCGGCAAACGTATTACCTGATGTTAAGCAATCAGCTTCGCCTATGAACACTCGCAACGACGGAGGAGTTACGGGTGCATTGCCGACCTTTTGGGGATTAGGGAATTGGAAATTTAGGGAATGGGGAAGGATTGGGCCTCCGATCACCTCACTCACACGGCGAAACAACGCTGTGATCATTTCACGCCGGTTTTCTGTAAGGCCTTGGTATTACTCCGGTCAAGCCAACCCATTTGTGCCGAGGCATGGCTTCCCACAATGAGTACAGTTTTTAAATATTCTTTAAAATCCTTTTTTACCAGTGATTCAGAGACAAAAACCCATAATATTGGCCCACACTTGTTTTGAAAAGTATATTAAATTTCCAATCATGTATTTTCTTTTGAGTAGTTTAAATTTAAGGTCACTACATTAATGACTTTTTGTCACTTAATGCATTGCCCATAGACACTCGCAAACACTACAGTAACGAGTGGATTGCTGGTCTTTAGAAGATAAAGAAAATTGAGGCTTGAAACTGGAATATTCTGGAATATAGCAAACGTGGATGGAAGACTGAGATCTCCCTTTCTCCCCTCAGTCCACCACGAACAATCTACGGTTGGGCTTTCAGCACCCTCAATGGCGCAACAATAAACAACACAACCGTTTGTTAACGCTGTTTTCCTTTGGTCACTAATCAAGTCGGCCTATTTGTGCCCAGGCTCTCTCACATTTTTTGGCCAATTCGAAACTTTTCTAATTTCTAGCCAAGATGATGCAAAAAAAAGTAATTTCACAATCACTGCATTATTCAGCTTAACCGAGTTCAGATCGTTTCTTTTGTTTATAGCAGGTGACTCCAAGGAATTAGATTGGTGCTATCGAGCCCTATCCATCCGTGTAATGGCATCTTTAATCTGCCCCTGATCGAGTTAGTGAAGGAGTAAGAACATATTGGAAGACCCTAATTATATTTATGTACCTCTGGGGTGGTTTTTAATTTAAGGTAACTGAACTTTATGATGTACTTAATGTGGTTTGTGAAATATTAAGCTAATTATTTAAAAGATGATAGTGCTATTAGCCTTCAGGATGGAATCGAATAAACTTGAAAAGTCGGGGAAGGCCAAATTTGAGTAGTTTAAATACAGTATTGTTGTAACTTGTACTTATAAGTTCAAAAATTCCTCAAATTCACCAAGAATTCGATTGAGGTCTGTTTTGTACAGTAGAGCAATTTAAAAATAGTTTGAATTTAAGAAGGCATCGATGGACACCTATGTCGTGTATGTACATTTTTTATGTCATAAGTCGGCAAGTTAGCAGACCGATTACCTGATGGTAAGCAATCAGCGCCACCCATTGACAGTCGTATCGTCGCAGTATAGTTACTACAAGTGTAATGCCGGCCTCTTGTGGGTAGGAGATCGTTCAGAATAGGGGATTAAAAGACAAACGCCTCCGGAACATCCCTTGCACATGAAACTCAACGTAAGAGTTGTATCACGCCCGCTGTCTGTGAGGCCGTGGTATCACTCCGATGGTCGAGTCAGCCCATTTGTGCTGTGACATTGTTACGTTTTTTTTTTTGTAGTACGTTGTATTGTTAACATAAAAGCAAAAGAGAGTCTTTGTATATATAAAGCTTCTCTATTCTTCATTGTCACTTTTTTATACGAAAATGTCCTGAATAAATGTTATAAAAAAATACCTGTGCTAATTTCTTTAACAGAGAACTGTAAAACATTTTAATTATAAAGCCTCCAAGTTTTATATGAATATCAAAAGTAGAAGGGCTTATTTCCTAAGAGATAAAGAATGAATTTAGAAAAACACGACGCATATAAATTTCACAGTGCAAACGCAGGCTTGCGTTTTTTTAAGACATTTAGAAAGTCTTTGTATTTCCTAATCAAATGATTTTCACAACTATTCCGTATGTATAAGGTTGTAATTAAAAGCATAAGTTGTTGCGAAACCAAGTATGTACTCCAGCCGCTATTGGTCAATCCATCTACATACGTAATAAAAGTCCAAATCAGTTGAATGGACTTAAAAAAAAGATATTCTTAAAAGTCTAATGCTTAATAGATAAGAAGACGTTTATCTGTGATATATATCAATAACGCCATCTGTGATCGGTGCCGAGAACTACACATAAACGAGTAGTTTGATAACCTCCCGTATTTTAGTAAGCCTTCTTCGCGACGATCTTTGCAGATGATTTAGGTAACGAGGTTTTATGTGTGAGATATTTTTCTATTAAAAAGCATATCAAATTCGTTTACTATTTCACTAGTATATTTTTTACTTACATCAACATAAATCCCTGGCAATCCAAATACTCTGGTATCTGGATCTTCCATCGGCGTATACCTATAGAACTCATGGTTGCCTCTGTACCATTTCACTGAGTACAGTGGCGCCCCCTGCATATCGCGGGAACAAATTAGCGCTGCTGTGCCACCCCTGATGACTGTTGAAGGCTCAACTAGAAGCATGACGTCTCGAAGGCTTGTAACACCTGGAAAATGAGAAAATTTATATAATGAATTTTGATGTTCACGTGTAGCCATTTATTGGCCATGTCAAGGACATTATTTGTTTGAGTTTTGCTTTGAAAAATCAGTATTTTACACACTGGTCGAGTTCTATAATTTTAATGATGTGAAAATAATATTTCTTCTTTTATTTTAACGTAGTCAGAATTACAGTAATTACATAACATTGAAGTGACCTCTCCAGCTTAATTAGTCCATAACATGTTTATCATTAACAAAATTATTTCATATTAATGTCTTTATCTAGCTTTTAAAACTTATAAAATGAAAAAGGTTCTGAATGTTAATATTCTGTCTGTGTTTAATGTTGAATCCCAAATTAATGAAGTTCAAAAATTTATTTTGTATGACATAAAAAACGTAGTAAAATAAAATTTGGATACTTAGTTAAAAATGTAGATCTGACTTTTTCATTAAACATAGCTTTTGATTATAATCAAGTCACTGATTTTCTTAATTACCGAGAAAATTTGAACAAAGGAGTAAGTATGAAACAAAAAGTTAGGCCAAGAACCTTGAAGCAGCCCCATTGTTAGCTTGCCCCCTATTTCATAGAAATTTTAACTTTACTGGTACCTTGCCTAGCCACCGTACTATGGTAGGTACTTACAGTTATTCAATAGGAACTTACGTCAGTCCTTAGTAATTAGTTGTTGGAACATATTTATTATTCAAATCTTTTTTAAAACCTCATTAAATGTCTCTAAATAGGAGAGAACTGTTATTCACTGGTTACTGTCACAAAGATCATAAAAGATATCTTAACATGAGATAAAGAATCGACATTGAAAGGCAGGTGTATTAGCAATTCATTTTCGCTGATTAATGGACTAATCGTCACGAATACTGAGACAACTGACTCTTGGCTTAACCAAGCCCCGTCCCGTTTCCCCTGTGGTATAAAGTAAAAGTTTTTCTTAATGGGCATGGGCCACATTACCAACAAAATTATTTTTAAATAAAACAATATGTAATTGTATCCTTAATTATATGAAATAAAGTCTGAGGAAAATGGTCCTAAACCAATTTTAGACGTACATAGGCTTCCACGTGTAGATAAAAAAACAAAAGGATTGAGCCACCTCAATAAATTGTCAAACAAAACCTGACGTCACGATATATGACTTCGGTTCCACTTGCACACCAAAAAAGAATGACAAAGTATGATCACATTCTTTGGATATCCAACAAAGGTCATTTGCCGAAGCAGATTGATTGTTCCATAACTCTTTGCAGACATCGCATATTGACCGCGTTATAAACATAAAGTACAAGTATTCGACCCGTCCCCAATTTTGAGTTCGAAGGAAAATATTTCTGAACAAACATACTTAGTGCTTTCTGTATCTAGAGTAAAGATAAACTTTGGCGGATTTCGGTCGTGTTTTTGTTGAAATCATTTTAGTAGAATAGTCTAGTGTTTGCTCTTTGTAAAGATGAGATAAATCGTTATGTTTTCAGGTCAATACGCAGACGATATTGGTACATAATAAAATATATATCTTAATTCTGCGAAAATTATGTTACTAATAATCAAATAATTACTGATATGTGTCTGCGTAACATCTATAACTAGGGCGGAATAACAGATTTAGGGCCTTGTGTTTGTGTGTGCTAGCAGTTAGAATAATAAAATTTTCGTTAAAATCAATTTTTTTGAATGAGACGAGGACTACGTACTACGAAGAGTAAATATTATAATCGTGAACAGTAAGGAAATTAAATAAATTTAATGACACATTTATCTGTGTAAGCACACCGATATTCTTAAAAATACCTTAGTACCTATCATGATCAAATGGGACCAGGTAGAAATTGAGCCGACGAATCTTTTGTTGGTAAGCTATAGGCGTGCCCATAATACCAAAGGAGTTACGGATTTATTGCCAGTTATATGCAGTTTTATGTGAAGATGGGAAGGCAAGGATCGGAAACATCACCCAAGTATTAACTTTCACCGGTTTTCTGTGAGGATCTTGTAGTTTCACTCTAGTAGAGCCCGCCAATTCGACGTCAATTATGGTCTTTTAAAATTAATTTATGATATCATAATTCTTTTTTATTGTGTAAAAATGAGTAGTGTCGTGGTGGCCCGGAGGTTAAGGAGCCCGCTTCTCATGCGTGAGGGCGTGGGTTGAAACCTGGCAAGTACCAATGTGACTTTTTCCGAGTTATATGTAACTTTCTATGATTATTTAGACACCCCTGACATTCGGTAAAGGTAAACATCGTGAGGAAACTTGGACTTATAATTTCAAATTATAAGTTTGAAATCTCCAACCCGCATTGAGCAAGCGTGGTGATTAATGCTCAAACCTTCACTGTGTGAGAAGATGCCTTTTCTCAGCAGTGGGCACTCATAGGCTGATGATGTGATGTGAAAAATGAGTAAATAATAATTGTGAATAAATAGATGATATGTGATTTTGGAATCCATTTTTTTGCTAGCAACAACCTGACTTGCCTGATAAACTTGGACGGCAACGAACTCAATTCACTAGAATTAATGTTGTCAGCTAACCTAACAATAATTCCAACGACATAAATTTATTTGCGTCGCCATTTTGTACCAGTTTTCTTGTTCGTCAGTTTTACTAATAAATATTATATCTATCTGTTAAACTAAACGGAGCTTTAAAACTGTCAAAATAGGTTTAACAATTTCTGTTTTGAATTTCAAATTAGTTTTTGTAGTTTGCTCAATTTGAATATTAAATAAAAATACTTCCATTTTAGTAAAATTAAGTCATTGTTGTTATCAGTTTGGTTCAGTCAGTGAATTAAGATTTTATTTATGACACAAGGGATAAAACATTTTTTTTGCAGAGTTATGCAGATATATTAAATGACAGGATCCACAAACAAATTAAGGTCAAAAAGACCAAGAAGGAAGGAAAAACTTCCAAAAATTGGTAAAAAGGATCATCCAAATATTAATTTCAAAGAGCAACTCGGTCAGTCACAGGAAGATAATTTTGTTAATAAATTTTCCTCTTCCTGGATGGCTATAAATAAGCCATAAACAATAGCTATAAAGAGAACATCTCTTGATGTATTATTTTTATAATTTGTTTTGTCTAAAAGAGTGCTTAGCTTCTGCACACAGCTTATTTTCTTTTGAAGTTCCTCATGATAAATGTCGTAAAGCTGAGTCGAATACATTCAAAAGTCAGAAAGTTAACGTGTCGATTTTTTAAATTCTTTGATTAATTAATAAACGCGCTGTTCATCGAAATTTAAAATCTGTTTTCGTAATCACATCATATTACTTCAAAAAATTCACCAATAATTATTTTTTTATTGTTCAAAATATTTTATTGGCCAGTGGTAACTTGTTATCGGCCTTATGCGTACTAAATGTAATTTTAATATCAATCTTACCTAGCTGTATATTGTCCTAAAATTTAAAAATAAAATATAAATTAGGAAATTGCTTTTTCCGAAACATTGATGACGTAATAAGCGTCTCACTCCAAATAACAATTTACTCAGTCTGATATATCAAAGCCAAAACAAAGTTAAAGACGTTAACTACGCTTTGTGGATTTCCACCTACCGCACTTTCGTGTACTTGGCATGCTTGTGGCCAGACAAGTATTCAATTCTCAAACTACATTAATTGTAATTTAGATTCACGAAATTATTGTCACCGAACGGGAAACTATGGATGTGGTAGTTCGGTATGTGTCAAAGGTTAACAAAACTATTTGGTCGTTATTCAATTAGTTGTTTGTTAATTAGTCAGTATTTTTTATTGAAGGAAATGGTTGAATTACTTTTTATAATGAGTGAGGTTGGCTATATTGCAAAGAAATGCTACTTGTATTATTTGCGTTAGTATACCTTGCGCAAGATAGATGGCGGTAGTAGTAACGTTGTATTGACGATTTCTTTTGTTTACAATTCGAAATTTAAGTTTTAATAAAGTGATGTTAACAATTTTGTCGAGCAATCACTATAAAGGTCTATAAATCACTATAAATCTCTTTTTTATTATAGATGTTAATCAAATCATCGTTCGAATTTTGAAAGTTCTGACTCTGAGATACGGCCTTTAAGAAAAATCTAGAAGATTTGTACAGACTGCTCTTAAAAATTTGTCAGAAAATATCAATTGTCACTTCTAAGGCTATGTGGAACTGTCCTATATCTCAAAAAAAAAAAATGGTGTAATTTTCAAAGTTGGATGAAAATCAAAAGGTTTTCACTTGGCTGTCGTATCACCTGCTAAGTAATCGGCGACGCCTATGGACACCAGGATCGTCTATATCTAGTGTAAAAGTGCCGTTTTATTGGTTATTTGCAAAAATAAATTCATTGTTTCATTGTTTCACGACGGAGTTACAAGTTCGTTACTGGCTTTAGAGATTGGGAATTTGGAGATGAGGGGGAATGTCAAATTATACCAACATCTACTTTACCTACATAGTAAAAGCGTTAATTCAATGCGGTTTTCTTCGAGGCCTTGGTATCCCTCAGCCAGCTTATTCATACTGAAGCATCGCTCTCCCACACTTGAACTGAACTTAATTGAAAGACTAATGAAGTTAGTTGACAACGACATAGTGTCAGGAAAAATCAATTTCAAGAATAGTGTTAGTAAGTTTTTCTTATTCGAAATCTGTTTGAGTGACTAAGAGGTAGACTCCTTACTTATAATAAAGTTAGTGTTAAATTAATTTAGAACTAAATACTGCTTAGAGTACTTTTTGCGATTTGGTACGGCGAAAAAACAATCATTTGGTTTTGTTTGCTAAGTAATTCGCCTAAAAGCAAGTTAGGAATCCTACATTTGACCTCACATTGAGTAGATATTTAGTAGGTTCTAAAAATTTACAGTAGTAACACAAAGTTTGGAACTTATTAAATGATATGAGGTGAAAACCTTTTTGTCTTACCTTTTAGAAAACAAGAATTGAAATATTTTGTCATGTTGTTGCATTATGAAATTTGACTTTGTTTT